GATGCTGCTACACGGCTGGACTACGTCAACTGCTAGCTTAGTAGTGATAGGGAGTGAAGTGATAGAACATGTTGACCACTTCACCTATTTGGGAAGTTGTATCAGCACCAACGGATTGATTGGTGACGAAATCACAGCACGGATCCAGAAAGCTCGGGCTGCTTTCGCTAACTTACACCGTCTCTGGCGTAGGCGAGACATCCGGCTGTCAACCAAGGGACGTGTGTACTGCTCACCAGTTCGCTCCCTCCTTCTCTATGGCTCTGAAACATGGCCAATACGAGTTGAATACATAAAAAGGTTGACTGTTTTTGACCACAGATGTTAACGATCTCTTTCTCGCGTTAGATGGTATAATAAGGTAAGTAATGTTGACGTTAGGCGTAGAGTGTTTGGCAAAGAGGGAAAATCACTCGAAGAGGCTATGAATTTACATAGATTGAGATGGCTAGGTGACGTGCTGCGCATACCTAACCATCGCCCCCCCTCCCGACGGGCATTACTAGCTGATATATAGGTGCAGATTGGAAAAGAGTAAGTGGTGCCATGCCAAACAAAAGCATGGCCTCATCAATCCATGAAATCCCTGACAGTTAAACTGAGTCAGGTGGGGAGGGAGGGAGATGCAGACTTCCTGTTGGTTGGGGCCCACCCTCGGGACTCTAAGAATCAATGGCTGGAGGCAGACAATAGGTGACATGGCTCAAAATCGTTGTCAATGGCTTACGCAGATGTATTCAGTCTCTTGTGTAATCTTTCATATTCCTTTCTACCATTACTCATTCTGTTTCACTCTTATACTTATCTAAATTCTATTGATTCTCTTCTCTCCTTTTCCTGTCTACCTTTGTGTGGTATTTGGAACGTGGCAACTCGAACAGCTGCACTTCGGTGCCAAGTTCTATGTTGAATGCAGCAGCAGCCCTAGAGTGAATGACAGACAATTCTATTAATACATGTATGCTGAAAGTCAACTAAAATAAGGACGACAGTTGTAGAAATGAGCCTTGTGTATTACATCCTGCTTGAAAGTATGAATTCCCCTACAGTTCAGTTTCAGTATCAAGTGAATAAAATGTAATCTGTAGAATTCATGAAATTCACAAAATGACGTACTGTCTTTTCAAAAAAGAAAACCCATTTAGTATTTCCTCAGTAAAGTGAGAAATGGGCATTGTAGTTGTGTAAACTCAATAGATTGTGAACTGTTGCCAATGGAAATGACAACAATTCTCTTACTACAATTACGAGTTATAATTTTAGCTTAATTTGCAACATTCAGCAATTGTTAAATGACAACTTTCAGCGAAGAGACTCTTTTCAACGACGAATTTATTATCAAGCTGTACAATCGTATATACACATATGGTTTTTATAAAATTTATATCCGGTGAGGGAATTAGGTCAAAGGTGTGAATACATGAAATAATAATAGTAGTAGTATGAAATGCAATTAAAATATTTGGGATTATAATCACAGTTTAATGTCAAGTGGCAAAATAATTAATGTCGTATATAGAATAATACATAAGGTGTATAGATTTTGGAAAGGGGTACGTAAGATTAGTACATGGAACGTACAACTAACTAATTTTTACAGTTGGGTGCCTATTTCCAGGAAAAGGAACTTAATTCATTCGCTCTGTTCTACGATAATGAAAATTTGTAGTTCTGATTCCGTTGATTCGGAACTTGACTTCTTAAAAGCCACTCTCGTAGAAAATGGTTACCACCCTAACCGATTTATTGACAGCAACATGAAAGATAAGATAAGCAGTCTAAACTGGTCACCGACACAGTTCCAAAGAAAGCACCTTATTCATGAACTTGGAATTCAAAGGTGATCAAGCTTCAGATATGCTCAAAAATCGTCTCTCTAAATCAGACGTTCTATGCAGCAAAATTACATATGACGTTCTCTAGCCGCAAGTTGTTCTCTACCTCTGTGTAAAAGATAAGCTCCCCTGTCTGGCCGCCTCCATGTGCATCTATCAGTTCACCCGCTCCTCTTGTGGAGTAAGGTACATTAGCCGTAGTCAGAGGACGCTTTCCACACGGATAAGAGAACATATTTCAGCAGCATGGTTTTACAAGGGAGAGAGGAAGTGTGTGCGAAGCTCTATTCTAGAACACCTGATCGACTTCTGTCAACCCTGACCATGATTTTAAGATCATATGTAGAATCCATGCTAACTTTCCGGTCGCGTTTCCTTCGTTACAGACTTCTAAAGAGAGCTGAGGCCTTGGCAATTCATGACTTTAAGCCAGCCAGATAGGTCTTTGTGTACAAAAGAAGTATGTACAATCCCTACTTCTGCCTTGGCCGTAAAGGGATGGACATTTATTTATTTAGTTATTCTATGTACTTTTCCCTTATTACTACGATTATTATTATAATCATTATTAGTATTACTATTCTCACTCTGAGTCTTTTTCACTTGACCCACTTGTCATTTTAAACCCAAAATTATTAATTTTTATATTATTTTTAAAATATTGAATTCTATCTTATCAAATCTCACACCATGTTATGTAACATTTTATATTCGTCTACTAATCTTGTAATTATGTACCCCTTTCCAAAATTCTATACACCTTATGTATTATTCTATATACGACATTAATTATTTTGCCACTTGACATTTAACTATGATTATAATCACAAATATTTTAATTGTGCGTCGGTGGCACAGTGGTTAGGACTCTCGCCGACCATGCACATGGTCCGGGGTTCGATCCCCTGCCGGCGCACACCCGATATCTATGGTCGGCCTGAATCTGGGCTACCGATATCCATGCTGAAAGTTCCATACTTGTACTGAAAATACGGTGTGGAATCAAGCTGTAAATCAAAAAAAAAATACTATTATTATTTCATGTCGGTCGGTCGGTTTTCGACATAGAACTTTGCACATATGTGCGGCAGTTCAAGTCGTCACACTCCCTCCTTGTAGCACACAAAGGAAGAGAAGAAATGCATAATATAGACAGTAAACAGAGGTGTGAGACAAAGGAATAGTAATAACAAAGAACAATATAGTTTAATTGGAAATCATCAGTCACAAGGAGTGGATTCATCTGCACCACTGAGAACGATTTTGAGCCATGTCACCAATTGTTTCCAACCATTGGTTTTTACCATTATCCCGAGGACCCCAACCAGGAAGTCTACACCTTCCTACGTGGCTTAGACTAACTGTTGTGGATTTCATTGACTGGTGCCATGTTTTCGTTTGACCGCCGCTAGCTCTTTTCCAGCCTGACCCAATATCAGCTAACATTGCCCGTCGAGGAAATTATTTCATATATTCACACCTTTGACCTAATTCCCTCACCGGATATAAATTTTATAAAAACGATATGTGTATATACTATTGTACAGCTTGATAATAAATTTGTTGAAAAGAGTCTCTTCGCTGAATATTGTGTTCTCAATGACAACTTAGAATTTATACAGGAAGTGCATAAGATTTAGTAAAACACATTCACACTTTTGACTTCAAAATGAAGTCTCCTTGAAAAAATATTATTACTGTAAAACCCTACACAGTTCACAAATTAATTGAAATGGAAAAACTTCTGTTTGTCCCTACTGAACTAAATATGTATGGAGAGACTTGTGAAGTGATTCCTCGGTTAATTAACTTTCTTATGCAAAAGAGAGAGGGCAGCAAGGCATTCATAATCTCTTGCTTCATATGGAACTGCAATGCAACTCGATGAGCAACAGAATTTATATGCATAAACCTTCCAAAAACAACTTGTCTTTTTATTCCAAATAAGTCAACAAGTTTCTTTCACGTATAAGCCTAAGTTATGTCTATGAAATCGGAATATTGTAGCCATTTAAATCTTCCCTTCAAAATAAAAGCCACTTCATAAACACAAGTTCACAATAATGCTACATATTATGCCCATTGTGCTAATGCTTTTTTGTCTTAAAATGAAAAGCTGACTGTTAAGAGTACATGAAAACTGAAATAAATGCTGAAATTGAGCTATCCCAGCTAGCTTTACTTTTCGGGCACACAGACTAACGTGGGACAATGCCCCTAAGCTTGTCCCAACCATTCTGCAATGTACCCGAAGTCTGCCCGAAATACTCTAGATTGCCGCCCTAACTTTCTAAGACTGATTAAAGCCTGGGAATACGCGCCTGCAGTTCTGCAATGAAACCTTTGTCGACAACTAACATAGAGTCAAATCTATTATGCTGGCTGGATTCAACATAGAACTTGCCACCGAAGTGCACCAGTTCGAGTCGCCACGTTCCAAATACCACACAAAGTAGACAAGAAGATGGATGAGTGAAGAGAATCAATAGAGTTTCGACAAGTATAAGAGTGAAACAGAATGAGTAGTGGTGGTAGAAAGGAATATGAAAGATTACACAAGAGACTGAATACATCTGCGTAAGCCATTGACAACGATTTTGAGCCATGTATGTCACCTATTGACTGTCTCCAGCCATTGATTCTTAGAGTCTCGAGGGCGGGCCCCAACCCGGAAGGAGTCTGCATCTCCCTCCCTACCTGACTGACTCAGTTTAACTGTCAAGGATTTCATGGATTGTTGAGGCCATGTTTTTGTTTGACATGGCACCACTTACTCTTTTCCAACCTGCACCTATATCAGCTAGTAATGCCCGTCGGGAGGGGGAGGCGATGGTTAGGCATGCGCAGCACGTGACCTAGCCATCTCAATCGATGTAACTTTATAGCCTCTCCGATTGATTTTCCCTCGATTGATTGCCCAACACTCTACGCCTAACTTAACGTCAACATTACTTAGTTTATTATACCATCTAACGCGAGAACGAGATCGTAAACATCTGTGGTCAAAAACAGTCAACTTTTTCATGTCTTCAACTCATATTGGCCATGTTTCAGAGCCATAGAGAAGGACGGAGCGAGCTGGTGAGCAGTACACACGTCCCTTGGTTGATAAAAAATGTATTATGCAGACAGCTCATATCAAAATGCAAACATATATTCAATAATCTTGGTAAATGCATTTACAATCTTTCGACATTTCATTGAAGTCAAACATCATATGAATCACCAGAAGCATTCATTCGTGTGCTTTCGGCATCTGGTCTGTTCTCTTTGTTTTCGTCGGTGGTGATCTGAAAATAAAATCTGCAAAAAAAAAAATAGGGAAATACCAAAGGGGAACGTCGTCGTTTTCTCCTTCTCAACTTCAATCTGTCGCGACTGTTATGGAACCAACGTTGAATGGCGTCCACTGTGCTACGCTGACTAGCACTCTCTTGCTGGTGTGAACTGTTAATGGTTTCTAAAAATAACTACAATGAAAAAGAAATTCACTTACGGATCACAAGTTTACACATGTTAGTGTCCTTGAATCGTTTCTTCTCCTTGGTACCAGCCCATGAAAACTGTGAGCTGTATTTCGGCTCCAGCAACACATTCATTATGCGACCAACGGAGGTTGACACACCAGTGTCAACTAAGGTGCAAAGTTCGGCTGATACACAACGACGGTATTCCTCGTCGGACAGTTTTGCCTCAGAGGATGACATGATGGTGTCGCTGTCCACATGCCACCTGCCACAACTCTTCACACCTTGAACAGAATTCACACAGGGGGGGATATTCTTGTCAATACTGTCGACCGCTTTGAGTTGCGAGAGTTTAGCCTCAATCGCAGAGAGACGTGACTCCACGCTTTCACGGAAATACCTCAACTCTTCCAAACAACCACATGTGCAAGCACCTGACTTTTCATTCTTCGTGCACCTGCAAGTAATATTTTTAAATGAAAGTGAACTTACATGTCCATGGGGACAAGAATGTTGGCTTTTGAAGTTGAAGAGACACACAACAAACTGAAATGAAAAGTAATGAAAAAGTAAACTGTATTATACCTCTCATTTCTTGCCACAGTGGATGGCTTTCGGAAAGCAGGTGTCTCCAACTGAAATTGTGGGTCAGCCAACAACCGAGATGGATAGTTCAACGGAGCAGTATCCTCCGAAACTTCACTTGTCAGTTTCGAAACACTGGGAAGATCAGTTAAGTATAATAGCTTACCGGCACTGGCTTGCAGGCTCCGTGTCCTCAGATGACGAGCCCCCAAGTGATGCGTGCACAATTTCCGCTGCAGTTTTCACTGCCTGCTCAAAATCATCTGAAAAGGAACATTACTAAAAATTTGACGTTACTGAAGCGTGCCAAAAGATTGAACTTGTAAGGCGTGGAACCCTCATCAAACTCTGCATGTCCCATGACATCTGCACACGAATACGACTGTGGGAGGATCAAGAATTCACCAGCCACCCACACCTCGCTAACAACCAAAATCTTATCAATGGCAGGAACCTTGACTAACAGGAACTGCTTAGTAGCCATCTGCGAATAATGTTCAATTGGAAAATGTTCTTCCGATGACGGTGAGGACGCAATGCTATTACAAGGAACATTAACTGGAACGACAATGTTTCCTGGAGTTATTTTTTGCTGTGGTTCCATTTCACGAGATTTGGAATATAATTCTGTGTACATTAATAATAAGAAAGAACAAGTTTACCTTCTAAATGCTTCTTCCACTCCAGTTTGTATTTTTTGAGACGTCGATAGTACATTGACCTATATCGTTTGAAGTCGAAATTAACTTTCGCTGCATAGTAAGTAATAATTGATAAGTAAATTTACGTAGTCTCAAATACGTCCGGCGGGATGGTTGGACATTAGCCGGTGGTTTGCTGTCAATTAGGTTACTTAGCGGATCAGTCCGGCTGGACGAAGGACCATGGAAACTCATGATTGCTAAATAATAACGGGAAAAATAGTTTTAAATAACGGATTCCTGCTGTCTACACCATATATACGCTATGCATGATATTTTAAATGAACAGTACTGTGATAGCTCTAATATAAAACATAGAATTATTCAATGAATGACTTTGATAAATCCGTAAACAAGGAGGTTAGGCAGAACGCAGGTAACTCACCAAGGTGGAAATACAAACCGTGAAATCGACCGCTTCTTTTCACTAACAGGCATTCCAGTCCAGTAAAAGACTTTTGATGAAAAGGCCTATTAGGATGTATTCAGATGGTAAAACGTATATTTTATTGATTACTTACATAGAAAAGTCTATTATTTCAGTTTATGTATTACTAATTACTAATTCAGATTCATTGTAACGCAGTTCAGCAAATTTAGCTGTCATTGGTTGAGGAAGTACATATGGATTAGTTTGAATAAAGCAAGAACGACAGTGGTTTGTGCAGAATAATATGGTAACATCATTTATTTCCTTGGCTTCTCATCATCTGCTTACAGACTAAATAAATTATGATGTTAATGTACAGAAAAAGTTTTAACATACTTGCAAATTTTACATGATGTCAGTTGACAGAAAATTCCACAATTAGTGAATAGTGCTCAGAAAATTGCGCTTATATAGTTTTTACACAGCAGTTCAATTTCAAACAAAAATAAGTGTATGCATACAATATTTCATATCCTGTGGTGCATTGTTTAAAAATGTAAACGCAACGCTGTTCTTTTTTTGGTTATTGCTTTTTGATTGTAAAATCTTATAAAATTTATGAGGTAATTAGATGCAATATTGTAATGCGCGCTGAAAATTCCATATCTGTACCACAAATAATGTTAGGAATAAAGCTCTTATTATTATTATCAAAGGAGTTACGTAATGAAGACGAGAGATGCGTTAGATGCAGAGTGAATAACAAATTTGGTAACAATGTACTGAGTTCAGGTCAAACCATGGAGACAAGAGACAAGAAAAACTACAGATTATAAAATAGGGTGACGTTAAAGGCAGAGATTACGTAATCAAATGAAATAGAAAATGAAGACATCCAGTTGCCAGGGCAAGGAAAGACTAATAACTGCTTCTTTCTGAACACAAGAATCCGGTTTCAAGCGTTTGTTAGAAATTGCTTCGGCAAACTTGAGGAGAATCGAGATTTTTTTCTATTGATAATTTTAAAAGATTTTGTGACTTCCACCTCATGACCTGTATCGAGTGGATGTCTGGTAATAACACTATTGTAAGAGTTTGTTCCCTTGAGACGTAGGCTTTCCAGAACATGTTCAGAAAATCAGTGTGTGTCCTTCTTCTGTTCTTCCAATGTAACTGCTCCCGCAGATACACATAAAGTTGTATACACAGTTGGAGTTAACATGAGAAGGGTATCTGTCGAATTTTGACTGCACCAAAGAGCATGTTGTTCGATGGACTTATCTGCAGGATAGTCTCTGGTTAGTGACGTACTCAGTCTTCTGCTGACCATTGCTGCAATGTTTTCACTTTTAAAATATAGTTGAATGAAGATAGGCTTTTTCTCAACTGTGATTTGTTTGGTATTTGAGCCTTCACATCTTCCATATTTGTTACTGAATCTTTGCGGATAATCGTTGTTTTTCAGCACCTTTTCGAGAATCATAAATTATTCCTGTAGTTTCTCTGCAGAGCATATTAAAATGTGAGTACTGTCTATTCCATGTCAGTTTTCGGTAAATTAACCTCTGGAGAATACCGTCTTCTATGGGATACTCCCATTGGTTGATTTCCAGCCAATGACCGTTTATTGAATTGGCCCTACCATTCTGCAATGCGCCCTAAGACTTCCCAAAGTTCTGCAATGTGACCAAAGTCTACCCCAAACATTCTACATTGCGCCCGAAATCGTTGCTAGCTGGGATGAATACCAACGACTACAAAACCAATTAAGACAATAGCGTCTCAATAAACAAGCCATTTAAATTTTGAACTTCCTACCTTATTTATTCCATCACATGGCGCAGATATCAGTATCAAGCGACATTTCCTGTTACAAGTGCTGCAAATGTAACGCAGTTCAATACATTATGCCGCCTATATTATGCGAGTTACAAATGCTTTTTGTTGCGAAATTTCATTTAAAAACATAAAAAACATATCTTGTTACTAAACTAACATTGCAACGGACGTGAATACTGCAGCCAGCAGGGATATGCAATAAAGCCACCCCATAAGACTGGACTTTTGATACTAACAGTCGGTGTCTCACACGGTCAAAGGCTTTACTGAGATCTGAGAATACAATAATTGCGATCATACGGGAAACATTAAGTTGTAAGATGTGATCAAAAAATTGTAAGAGGCACGTCAAACAAGAAGGTGACTTTATGAAACCATGTCGATAAGGAGTGAAAAGTTTCTCTTGAGAGAGAGAGAGAGTCGAAAATGGCACTTTTCACAATCTTTTCCAGGGCCCTTGAAATCACGGAAGTTATGTTAATGGTTCTGTGACTCATGACGCTTGAACGGGAGCCTGACTTAAACCAGTGCTAAAGTGCTTGGTTTTCCATGCATCTGGATATGTACCAATTTATGGAGAGGTAGAGAACACCTTAAGAGGAAGAACGGAAATATCTTCACCACTTCATTTTAAAATAGTTGAGAGGATCGTGTCAGGACCAGGGTTGTTTGAACTTTAAAGAGAAGCGATTGCTTCCTTAATATTATTTAAAGAAGATCCGATAATTTCTAAAGTTTTTGTGAACGTGGGAGGTGAAGGTTGTGAAGATGCATTATCGTCATAAGTATAGGACTGCGAGCGGCAGGAGCTTAGAAGCTCACTCGCTGGCAGTCTCACACTTTTCTAAAGTGAATGGTATAGCCGTTTAGTGGTAAAACCTACAGACTACAGTGTATTTAGAACTATCTTTAAGAGCTACATCTTGTCCGAGTATGGCGTTGTCAGTATTTTCTTTTAATTCGAAGCAAATGTCCTGTATATTCACAAGACATGAGTAGTCGTTCTCCCTGTGGTACTGTCGGTGCAGCTTTCGCAGCTTGGCCTTTACTTTTCTAGGAATGAAGTTCTATATGTTTTGGCTTGAGTTCTCTTTTCACTTAGGAACAAGTTTATGGAGGCATATCGATATATTTTGGTAAAAGGCTAGTAGGATAGTGTCTAGGATGCTACTAGAAAAGAATCGGTCCCAGTCTACGCTTCGAATGAAGGAGTTAGACACGTCCCACCTAGCTTTTCAGGAGGACATGAATGCTTGCGCAGGATAGATCGTTTTACTGAGTGGAGCTTGGTATCGAAGGAGCTGATTATGTTATTCTGGTCACTACCTGAAATGGTAAATAGGACGATGTCTTTGAAGAAAATTAAGTCCAGTATATTGTGGTTTCAGGTGGGTCTTAGAATACTTTGTGTCCACCCACATAATTCCACTGCATCTAAGGATTTACTGTAGCGGGAAGTAGCACTGATTTGTTCCCATGAGACTTCAGGCATGCTAAAATCCGCTCCAGTGACTTCATAAGAAAAGTTTAATTTCGAAGTGTAGTGAAAGGCAGCAGTTATTTCAATAGCAGTTCAGTGTCGTGGTTGGGTGGGCGATAGATGCAACCTAGTAACAGAGTTCGCTGTTTGTTGATGTAGTGTCACCCATTATGTATCACATATATTCAGGTTGGGGTGATTGTGGTGCACAGCTCTGCAGTCAGATCTAACATAGATAATGCATCCTCCACCCAGCCCAACTGATCTGTTCTTTCTGAAAAATGAGTAACCTACGCAGTGAAAGAAATCATCATTTAGTTCAATTGTGCACCAAGCCTAAGTAATCATTAGTGCTGTAGGTTTGTAAGTCAACAGTAGGGATTGGATTTATGCCATCTTGTTTACAGCTGGCCTGGCATTAATAAGAACTATTTTAGGATTAGCCGGGTCATAACTTGAGATTTTAGCCATGTCTTGAGGCGGCTGGTGATGAGATGCAATCATACTGTTCTCAGACGACAACGAAATGTCTATGTCTGTGGATGCGCTAGGAAAGCTAGAAGTGCCGGGTGGGTCAGTGATATTTTCATGTCCCTGTAAGTTCAGGCGCAAAGAAGATTGACTGTCAGAAAAAATGAGATACAGGGTTTTTGATGAAGAAGAGAAATACCTGTGTCATGTAAGGTGAGTTCCGGGCAGTAATTAGGCATCGCTCTATCAACTGTCGTATCTATACCGAGGGGCGAAACCCGTGGAGAGTGGTGAGTATTTGTAACATTTTGGTGGTCATATTGTGAACATGAATAAAAAACAGTAATATCGTTTCAGCAAGACTGCTGATAGCTGGATGGGCAGCTCCGTTGGGTGTGGGCATGTAAATAGGTGGAGGCGGCCAACCAAGCAGGCCAAACTGCTTCGAATTATTGCGATTTACGTTATCACTGCTCGATGGCCTATGTTAAAGTGTCTCAATCTTTGTATTTATGGTGAAGAGAGAACCCACCCTTTTCGACAGGTAGCTACGAAGTTCAGGTTCCATTTTATGGTTTGCATACCTGTTGGTTTTGTCAATGTTTGTCTCTGAAGAGAGGTGTGATATCAAGCCGTGAGCATCTGAATTACTGTGAGGCATTTTTCTCTTATTGTGCACTGGTATTGAGAACGAACTGGTAGCCACATTCTCCAACTTCATGAAGTTGAAACTACTTGGATTGATTAATACAGGGTGTGATGTACTGCAGCGTGTCGCTGGGGTACAGGGATCGTTATCGGAGAAGTCGAGGTCTACAGTCAGTTTCCTTTTTAGTGTACGGCTATATACTGAACTATTTTTGAGCCTTATATTTTCATGAAAGTTCGTTTCCAGATGTAATGTACTTTGTGTGGGCAGACCCAGTCTATTCTGTTCTGCCTCAATAGAAGAATGGGTGCTCAGAGGTGTTGTAGAGGTGCTGGAATTCACGGTTACAAAATCAGTCAAAGAAGTCATTCTTTGGATCGGCGTTTTGTCACGAGCTAACTTAGTCGTATGGTAACGCGTATTTCTCAATAGTGTTTGCCTACTGTAAAATATGTCAGCACTAGAGGATGAGTCAAATTTTAACACGAGTGGACAAGACTTATTTTTCTGGGACTTTCCTAGTCGATGGCAGCTGCACAAGACATTGTTCATAGAGCGTGCATCCAGAATATTGATTTGGACCTTGTTAATCTGCGCATTGTCCGGCATGTAATACACAATTATCTTCTTCTCACGCACTATACGTTGTACTATTTCGGTTGCAACATAGATCCTCAGCCTTGCGGTTTCTGGAACCGTTTTAGGTGAAGTACGGCTACTGCTAATTTGACTAGGCGGTGTCAGCGTTGATATCTTTTCTTCGAGCTCCTTTATAAAGAAAATAGTTCTTTGATTTTATCTGCACAGCTGGGTGTAGAACAAGAAATTGAATTAGTGATAGCAGTCAAAATGTTTGTCCTGTGATTCATGTTGCAAGACGCTTACCAAGTGTCTACGAGGCCTAGATTGTTACATGCAGTATTACTATGTATACCATCCATGATATTGTTTACTACGCAAGCAAATGAGGGGAGTTTAATGTCCGGACTTATGTGTCTACTGCAGCAGACCTGTATCTAGTCGTTAAATCGCTGAATGTAGTGCTCTGACTTCCTGCAGGCTTGTTTATTCTGTTAGATTTGCGTTTATTACTAGGATTTGAAGCAGATAGTGGAGTCAGACGTTTAGTTTGCACTACTGTCATTTTGTATACAGTTTAAATTCATAACTATAGGGGAATGATTACAGTGTCTGTGAGTTCCATTCAAGATTGTCAAAGATTTAAAGTGC